TATTATTATTATTATTATTATTATTATTATTATTATTATTATTATTAGAATAAATAGCAAAATCAACCGGATCTCTTGAAAATTAAGATGTTATGAAAAAAAAAAAAAAGAAAAAAAAAAGTCCATTCCATATAATATTAATGATTACTATTATCTTTGATACTTTGTAATTTTTTTCTATTCACTCTATGCTCAATTTTACCTTTAAACAAAACCATTGATTTATTTCGAAACACCTGGCAGACAAAAGAGACAGGGTCCTTATACGAAATCTGTCAGGCGATCTGTTTGCGTGTCAACGTACACGAATCGATTCCATCCAAATTTCATTTATCGAAAGAGCAAGAGTTTTCTACATAATATTACCTTTTTTATACCTTTTAGAGATCAACAATAAATCTTTATCGACATTTTTATTGTTTCACTCCCTACCAGCAGGTAAACATCTCATATTATAACTGCGTCTATCTATATTATTAATAAATCGAGTTCAACAATCGAATCAATTAATTTCACGCGCTCAAAGTCATTCGGTGTATTATTTTTTAATCGTCTTTCAATATTAATATTATGTTTTATCAAAGTGTACATATAATTATAACAATAATATATAAGTTATCACACGTACCAATCGCGTGCATGGAATTTAAGATAAACGTTTCGAAACGATTCCCAAGTATTTCGATTGAAACGCATATTTATATCGCCAACGCTGTATATTGTTGTTGTTTCCCCCTCCCTTCTACCCCGCATAACACAAAAATATTGCATCCTGTTAAATTATTATATTTAGTTATTTTATAGTTTATATGATATTACATATTATATTGTATTAACATAACTTACGGTATGGTTTACAAAGTCCTTCTACGCGGATATTATCCAACACCTGGAATACGATTCTGAAATGTTATTTTAATAATATTCACTGCATTCCTCTACACGTGCGTATACCATTTGTCATGTATATTCTGTGTGAATATCCGCCGTACAGGACCTCTACGATATGCCGTATGGTAAACAGGGTGAGATGGGAAGTTTTGACCGAAACCGTTGGTGGTTCAACAGTTCTGAAAACCGATTGTTTGCTTGATTGATATATTTGAGCTATTTAACAATATCAATGAGCTAAATGTTGACGAATTTGACTAATGTATCGTGACTAGATTCAAGTTTAATAAAAAATCCCTTAATTGAACCTCTTAACCAAATTCACTGAAAACCAATCATTATAATACCTAATGTATGATGATGGGATTTTAAAAAGCTTAAACAAGTTCTTAAAAATTAAAACCTTGAATGTTATCTCTGTGTGTAAGTTATGGTTAGGAATGGTGTGTATGTATATTACCACTGTTTCATTATGAAATCAAAGTTCTTGCATTTAAAATCGATTCATTTTTCTTCAATCTGCAAAACAGAATAGTACGCAGTTCTCTAATAATCTACGCCTTTTTTTTTAAAGATTCGTTCGTGATTTTTTCTGATTCGCATAGATGTCTGTATGATATCATAATCCTATAACGGTACATACACAGGAAATCGTAAGCAGACGACAATAACTTACCACCTACACACTTTAGTTCTCGTCTTCTGCTGTCCGTTATTTATTTATGTCCGGTTACACAATCAGATCTTCACGGTCTGCCGACTACGGTTCAACTATTCACAAAAATTGAAACCCACGTTGTCCCATACCAAACTCTCCGATGATTCGTCTCACATTGTACATTACGTTGCCCACATAACGTATAAGGTTAAAACTTTTCACATCCCACGACACGACGTGATGTTCCATTTCGGTTATTGATCATTACGATGATAATCCCTTTAGAGACCCGGTCGTCTAAGGTAAAAACTAAAAAGGGATTCAATTTTAACTTTTAAATACCAATAACTTATTGTAACACACACACACACACACACACACACACACACACACACACAATTTGTAACACAATTATATAATTTACAACAAGAAAATATATATTATATACTATATTAAATATTGTAAATATATTTTACCAGGAACGGTTGTTTTAATGTGATTTTTTTTCGAATAATTTTTGAGGTGTAAAACTATAGTTTGACAATATAGCACACATCGGGTGTAGTGCTGATTGTCGCATGTGTATAAATGCGTATCATATACGAACAATTTGAAATGAAACTTTACAAAACGAATATTTTTACTACAGACATAATTTATTCATTTTGTATTTGATATTCTGTAAAAAAAAAAAAAGATTCACACTATACAATTTGGTATGATTTACCATTTTGTTCTAATTTTAAAATGTTCAAACCTATAACAATCATAAGATATTTCTGTGTTGTGCTTACAGTATTAAAAATCAATTAATATTTTAAAACAATTACAAATTCTCGGATCCAGTGAACGAGCATGAATTACAAAACAATTAACGTCTCAAATATTTATTATATTTGGAAATGGGTTCTCAAACTTCTCGAAGTAAAGGAATTTTAAATTTCTTATGGAATTCGAAGTTCGACAAAATAACGCCACGAACTATTGAACTTAAAAAAATTTTTAATTTTTCTAATAATAATATAATTATACCCATTAATTTTTTTTTTAAAAAACCTATAAATACATATATTATATATAGACATGAAGAAGATAAAAAATGTGTAGGAAATGTTTGTTTAAAATATTAGTGTTAAACAATATATTATTTATAAAACTATAATGTATCATACTATCGGTATTGACACGGTTCTATTGCCTTATTCAGTTGTTCAAAATATTTGAAAACGCCAAAACTGCTTCTTATAGCATCAATACTCGTCGCCCAATTATTCTTTAGTGACACCCAATGTAAATCAAAATCAAACGACGTTTTCTTAAATTTATAAACTCTGGAACCATAATTTTTAAACACACACATACACACACACACACACACACACACACACACACACACACACACA